AATAACACCTATTTTCAGGGTTGTTATTAGACATGACATATGTAGTCCCTGAAACAATGCCTAACAGGAATTTAATGAATGTCAGGATATAAACATCTATAGCTTCTAAAATAATAGAAATGAGATTAATACTTACATGTATAGTGATAGTAAGATAACATCCCTGAATGATTTTAATTTATAATTTCAGATTCTTCACTTTATTTGTCACAGTAACTTAAATTATTGCTGTGGGGTGAAGTGAAATCACATATAACAGTTCTAACGATAAAGCAGAGCTAAGTAAAGTGAGTCAGTGATTATGGAACTAATTATGGTTTCTGAAAGGCGAGAAGTAATAGGCTATTTCTGTACCTTCCTCACAGATACTCTGTAGATACAAGGATCTAAGATGCCTGTGGTGGCACTTGCACTCATTTTGCACATAAATGAGAACTTCTTCCTCCAGTGAACACAGTTTGCTTGCACCACCTCCCTGAAGAAGAAGAAAAAAACAACCAGTTAATTAACTATTATTGATGACTTGTTAAAAAAGCACACATACTTTTTTCACTCAAGTCTATAAATGCAAAAGTGACATATTAAAATCCAGGATTTGGAAATAGTGAAACATGGAGAAAACAAATTCCTGACAATGTGATCTGAAAACCACTGAAAGATTTTAATTACCCACAAAAACTGAAAGAAGGCGAACTGGCTTATCAATTCAGTCCGTATAAATTGAAGCTTCACCATTTATTCATTCAATATACAACACAAATTTATTTTAGGTGTTTGGGTATGTGCTAGGTGCTTAAAATATGAAGGTGAGAATGTTAGCATTCCTAACCTTGTAGGGCTTACAGATTACAGTTAATGTAAGGGACAGAAATATAAACATACTTTTTCTAAAATACACTACTGTCACAGTTTTACTCTTATTCTAGCCATAAAAGCAACAGCAGCTACCATTTACCAACAGCTTACTACATGCTGTTTAATGTCACAACATCCCTAGGAGGTAGCTGGCATCCCCTTTATAGATAAGGAAACTGAAGCACAAGGAGAGAACTTAACTCAAAGTCACTTAGGTAGGAAGTAGCAGAACTAGCATTCGTACCATACCTGTTTACCTCATGAGCCTACTTGTCCACAAAGGAAAATCTATTATTTTTCTAAGAACTCTGCTCTTTCAAGTTTCCAGGTTTTTGTACATACTGATCCCTCTACTGTTCTGTGTAAATACAGGGGCCTTAGCCTTAGAAAGAAAGGATAATTATTTCTCTGACACAGGAAGAAAAGAAAGACAATGGATGAACACAGAAAAGTGGAGAAAGCAAAAGGGGAAGGCAAGAGAGGGCAGGTTGAAAAGTTTTGATCTTAGTGAAGTCATAGGTGAGGTTACCTCTAAGGAGTGAAGGGGGCTGATGGGTGAGGTGAATGCACATTTAGAGAAAGGATGAGGACAGTTAGGAATAACTGACATGGTAAATGTGATAGGGAATCAACTTGCAGCTGTCTCAGTGAATAAAATGGATTTGTACTGGGACGAGTTTGGTTTTATGGATTTCTCCATCAATACACAAAAATACATGAACAGGATTTGCAAAAACAAATATAATTTTAAAATCAAGCATGTGTTTGAGTGTGCTGTCTACATATATGCTTACTTATGTACCTATAAACAGGCACACAAATGGGAGAGGAGGGCATGTATTTTATCATAGGTTTCATTGTGATGACTTTAGCCATTTTATTTTTTTCATTAGGAGCCTTTAGGTGATTTAATGAATTACGATGTGAAGAAAACGTTTGTGTTCTTAAAGGAGTTTTTCTTTAAATCCAGAAGGAGTGCAATTTATTTGTATGGTCATAACAGGCTGGATGAGAATTATCTGACAAAGAAGGGAACTGGAGGTATTTGTCAGGCAGCATGAGACATCTCAAGTAAGATAAGCAGCAGCTAACCTGTGCACTCAAAAGGAAATGAATTTAGAAAAATAAGTGAATAATAATAACAAAGAGGAAAAAACTAGAATTATTTTCATTGTTGCCTTGCCCTCAACATCTCTTGGCTTCAAGACTTAGATGTATAACTCATGGCCTCTGGAGCTCTGCAAAAGTTATGCAGGTACAATGATGTGCTGGGCCCTTCAGGAGCGTGCTGTGCTTCAAGGCACTGCGTTTTCCTGCCACTGAGACCACTGAAGTATGATCAGAAATCAGATACAACATTAAAAAAGAAACTGGTATTTTGCTTCTCTTGAAAATTACATAAAACTTCTAGTTAGAGATGCAGGTTGAGTGCATGTATAGCCTCTGCTCCCTCCCAAACACCTATTTAAATTCTAAGGCACCATCTCAGGAGGACAAAGAGAACCAGATAGGAGGCAAAAATAAGTGGCCAGGGATGGATAAGTGACAACTGATACAGCAAATCAAAGAAAGCTGAACCTTAAAGCTGGTAATAGTGAAAACCACGATCAGGAATCTTATATTGTGTCAAAGTAGAATGAAGAGGGACAAAAGGCTCAAGGACTGATTAAAAACTGTTTAGAAACAGACCCTTAGACCATCTCCATGTCTCCTGCAGAAGACTGGGATTTAGTCCCTGACAAGGTAAACAAGAGGCATCTCTGCATTGCCTGACTTGGGTGTGGGAGATGGGGATGGCTAAGGGGATGCAAATGACTTTCTGATGCTGAGACCTCCAACCGTCTTTCCCTAACCCGGCTCTTCAGAATATATTCTTCATGAAGATGTGGGAAGAACATTCTCTGGGGAATCGAATCAGCCCCAAAGAAAAGATCTAATGAGGTAGATGGTAAGGGTTTCCAAAGAGGTAGCTCAGTCAAATCAATCTACAGTAAAAACCTGAGTCAACAAACACTCTCAACATGTACAAAGCTTCTAGGCAGTTTTTATTTCTTCACAGTTAAATATGAGCAGAGAGGAGAGTCTCTTAATAGGAAAAAGAGACAGAAATGAATAGCAAAAAGGCAATTTGAACAAAACGGTGTATGCTGGAAGAAGAAAAAAGATTCTCAGAGAGATAGAAACTGCATCTACCACACAGGAATAAGATGCTATTGAAAAAAAGAGAACCTACAGCGAAACTAAAGAAGTACTCACAGAAATAAAAAATTCCGGGCTTGATATTCTATTCGTCATTCCAAACCCACTCTCCCCTTCTCTCTGGCCCAGGAGGCTGGCCTGTATGAACTGTATCAACCAGGCTCCTTAGCCATCTGACTCTGAATCTGCCAGAGGGACAAACACCAGAAGGACAGTGCACTAGGATAGAGGAGTTGCTGTATTGATTCTCCTGGTTTCTTCCCTTACATGCCATGTGGGAAATGGGTAGAGGTTGGTGACTACAGTTTTCCACAATATGCCTTGTAGCATATTGTGCATTTATAATTTGGTTAAAAACCAAATCAACAAATTGAAAATTTCAACTGTCAAAGTACTAAATTCAGTTTTCAAGTACTGAATCTGAAAATAGGAACAAAAATACACAACACTGTAAGCCATTTTTTCTTACCTGCATAAAAAAAACTCTGAAAACTTTCTTTATTGGGTAACATGAAAATTGAATGGTGTCTTAAAATGTTATTCAGCCAATTATTCTAGGAATGATGTCATAAGTATATAAAATTCCATTAATACTAATTGCAAAATCCTAAAACTTTGCTTTATATTTTGTTACTTTTCACTTGTTTGTGAAATAACAATTCCTCAGCAATACTAATTATGGAAACACATCTTTAGATTTTTATTTAGTTTAAAACCCTCTTATAATGTAGCAGCCTTTCCATACCAAGTAGTATATACTATCATTTGCACAAATTGCGGGCAGCTTTGGCTGAGTAACATGAATAAAAGAAATCAAGTGAACTCTGTATGTGGATGTTTCTCTTAAAAAAAACACAACAAGAAGGATTATTTACAGAAATACTGATCTAGTTTAGTGATGGAATGGAGGAAGGCAACACTAAATCTGGTGGGCTTGTGAACAAATAAGAGACTAAAAAATTTCAGCATGGTATCATAAATGTGCACAGAAAACTAAAATTATGTTGTAGAACACAGATTAAGAATACATCTTAATAAAAAACATGACATTAAATCTTAAGGGAAAAAAATACACCTCGTAACCCTTTGTTCCCATCTACTTACTACCATTTTCTTTTCCTTCAGATCCAGGCTCCTTGGAGATGATAATATTAATGATGATAACAAGGACAGTATTTACTGAGTGTTTATTATATACCAGGTATTGTCATAAACATTTTCTCTGTATTAAATCTATCATCCACAAAAGAACTTTATGAAGAAAGTACTCTTAGCTCCATTTTATAGATAAAAGAACCAGGATAAGGGGAAATGAAGTGACTTGTTCAAGGTCACTCAGCTAGAAAGGGTTGGAAGTGGTGTTTGAAAAACTGTCTACAGTATAGACAATTTCCTCACCTGTCACTTTTCAATCACCTCTAATCAGGCTTCTGTCCCCTACCACTCTATTGAAACTGCTCACCAGTGAGCAACTAATTGCCAAAGCCATATACTGGATTATTCCCAGTTTCTCCTTCCTCTGTCTCCTTAAAATGTTGTGTCTACCAAGGTTCTACAGACTTGGCTCTTTTCTTTATACTTTTATGGCCTTAACTACTATGCATATACTAAGAACATATAAATCTGAAGTCTTCCACTTTTAGTCTTTGGATTCACGTAGCCACCTATTTACTGCTGGTTTCCACCCAGGACTACTAATCTCTAGGTAAGGCCTCTGACCTCTTTTCACCATGGTACTCACCAGCAACCTGGTTACCCATCAGCTTGAAGAGTTAGTTAAACTAGTCACATGGTTTGCCTAGGTGCAAAAGTGACAGAGACAGCCAGCTGCTTCTCCAACATCATCTCTTCCCTTCCTTAAAAACAGAACCCTGACTTGATTCAGAATAGCAATGTGTCCATTTGAAAGACTGCATTTTTCCATTCTCCTTTGTAGCTAGAGGTATGCTTACTACAAGTCAGTAAGATATAAAGAAGGTTATCAGGCATGACTTCTGAAAAGGCATAGTAAAAGAAAAACAGCTGTCCTTTTTACCTTACCCCTTCTTTCTTCCTCTCCCTGGAGAATGGTCATAATGATAGTTAAACTGTCAAAAGCTATCTTGGACCACAAGGCTACCCTGAGGAGCGCCATGGTGATGGTGCACAGAGATGGAAGGAAGATGGTCCCAATAACCATGTAGCCCTGGACTGTCTCCCTCCAAACTTTTAAAATCTTGTTTAACATGCTGATTTTGGGCTTTGCTATACACAGCTGAACTAAATTCTAACTGATGGAGGCTCAGTCAAATGATTCCCTAATAAAGGAATCTACAGGGTTCAAATATTAATTCACATTGAGGTAGTGCTCCAAGAATCAGTCACTAGCCTTCATCAGCCCACAGAAACGGTCTGAGATATCCACAAATAAACATGGGTTTG